CGTGTTCCTTTTCTTCCTTGCTTCCTTCCTTCCTTTCTTTCTTTCTTCCTTTCTTTCTTTCTTTCTTTCTTTCTTTCTTTTTTTTTTTTGACTGATTAATATGCCTCTCAAAAGCTAGAATGATCAATTAACTTACCGGTTGACCGAACAAATGGCGGATCGACTGAGCAACCCACCGACCGACCGACTGATTCATTGACTGCCAATCCACTGACTGTTGAAGGGAAGGAAGGAAAGACGGAACGAGGGAGGGATGAAAGGATGGACGAGTGGGAGGGGATACGAATAAATGGAAGAATGAGTGCATGAATCCCCACCACTCCTTGACTGAGAGAGGGATGGAAGGAAATAGAGAGGGATGAAAATGGGAATGAATGAAAGGAAGTGTGATTGAACAAAGGAAAAAAATGAGAGGACGAATGAGACCGCAAAACAAAAAGTTTATCTTACCTTTCTTGTTCCTAACAGAGGCTGTCAAGCAAATCATCCAACATCTCGGCATGCAACCGTGCGAGCGGAGTGACCGAGTACCCGAAGGAAAAAGCTCTCACGCCCTCCTCCTCGCTGGTGTTTACCGTGGCAATAAAGATGTTCTCGTCAAAGCAAGACTAGCATTTAACCAAGGAGTCACCATGAATATCACTGTACGCAGCAAAGATGAAAGCGTTAGTGAGGTCATACTTTCTGCTGTAGGTTAGACCGGTTTTACTAGAAAAACTGGTTTGACGAAAAACCATACACCTTATAAATTCAATAGTATACTTAATGAACTAAAAAATCAACAGCATTGTCTTTGATGATAACTCTTTCAGTTTTATGTCCACGTTTTCCCTGGTAGATTGGGTTAAAACAATATCCTCTGAACCAAATCAAGTTTCCCAAAATACGTCATATTATATAGGAATGAAAAATAAATATTGCAGGAAAATAGTCAGAGTTTTTGTCGTTATATTATTTATCTACAAGCTTACTTGGTCTTAATAAATATCTGGTCAGTCACCATAGTTACTGTTGACATGACATTATGCTTCCCCAGCCCTTGGAGGCAAGTCAACACTCGATTGTCATAGTTTATAAAAGGTTTTATTTTTTTACATTTGCAAGGTGATTTCTGACTTGAGTATTACAAGTTTAGGATAAAGTACAAATAGTTCAACGGAGTTCTGTAAGAGGATCAACTCCCTCTCTTTACAAGATGTTATTATGGCGCAACAAGATTGCACTAAGATGTACTAATGCAAAAGCCTTGGTACTTCAGTTCTGCATAATAATAAACAAACAACAGCGAAGTCTTGTGGTACATATAGAAAAAAGTGTTCAGTAGATTTACAGATTGTTTTATCAAAAATATTTAGTATTAGTCAAGTAGTTTTCCAGATTATTACCAAGAACTAAGTCATTAAAACATCGTCAAATGAACAACCGCAATAATACACATTACGATCCAAGATCCATTTGTACTTTGTTTCATGACTTAGTAATGAAAAAAGTTCAATTACTGACAGTAAATCCCAAATTGAAATAAAAATGTAGTTTTGGTGAAACGTTGCACAAATTAACCGGTCCAAAAACCGATCCAAAAATCTGTACTAGTCATTTCCCAAAAATGGTTTGAAAAAGAATATCGAAAAAGTCCAGAATTGAGTGTTGAGGTCCAGGAATGGTGAAGAGTTTGACATGCAGACATTCATTCTGCCTGCAGTTCCACAGGTGATAGAAAAAGTGAGTTCCAGCGACAGTWTTTCTTGTTGATGTTCATAGTTGATTAGTAGGATGTACCACAATTAAGCGCAGATCGTTGCCATACTTCTGCAGTATTGGTTCCCAGGTTATCATGGTAAACGGGAGGGAGACTTCAAAGACAGAGAAACGGATGTAGAAGTCGGGCAAGGACACAGATAAAAAGACACAATAAGACACACCCACTCCACACACTCACTCACTCACTCACACACACTCACGCCCAGCTCGAAGTAAAATATGTCCGACAGCCAAGGGAAGTCTTGTATCCATGAACTCCTTTCAAAATCTGTAGTATTTAGCAGTCAAGGTTGAATCAGATGAGTAGTAATCAGTAGTAGTCTTGTAGCGGGCTGTCGGACTTGCATTAGGCTTTCTACAAGAGAAAGCCCTTGCGCAGACCACAATAGGTCTTTTTTGCATTATCTGATGCAGGCTTCTTTTTAGGCATTTCAACTTCCTCTTCTTGTTTGGTCATCTCGGCCTAAAGTCAAAAATATCGTAAGATTATTGTTTGATTTCAAAAAAATTGATGATGAGAAAAATGAAAAGGTGAATGGAAGGAAATGAGAATTAGTCATTTGATTTCCACGCACGCGCACTACTTCACAAATTCATGGTATTCTCCACAAAGGGATGTTGTTAATTCATTACCTTGGTGCTGTTCAGGTAGGAGTAGGCAACATAACTGCCTATCCCGACAGTGATCAGGGCTGCTCCTCCAAGAAGGAGGTTCCGAAGGAACGACATGACCACACTAATCCTTCGTAACGAAGGTAATTAAGTAATTGGTCTATGTCGTCATCATTGGGTTCTAATTATCMTTAGTCAATTAACCAATCAGGTGTTTAGGGTGATCTCCATTGGAAAGAATTTTGAAATCGTTGGTGACCAAAGGACACACTTTTTTACGCTGTTCCTTTGAGGCTTATTACGTCGTTCAAAATTGATGTGGGATGAATATATTATTTCTTTGATTGCAATAAAATGTGGCCCAACTCACTTAAGATAATTTGGTTTGTAAATGCATCACAAAAGCTAACTAAAAAAAGTTTTAATTTTAATTTTTGAAAACCATTTTTGACCTCTTCGGTGACGAAATGCGCACTTAGCTGTCGTATGATTAATGACCGTCATAAACACAGTTCTTGGGAATGCTAGAAAATTGACTTCCCATATCCAACTTTTCGATGACTTCGTTTCTAGGTAAGGAAAAGCTTTCATTCCGTACATTAATGAGTTTTGAGAGAGATTTCATGGTATAGTAGTGGGCATACCGGTAAGACAAGACGAGAAAAAAATCTGGTGAGCATCTACAAAATTAGAAAACGGAAAAAAGGAGAGAAGAGAAGAGAAGAGAAGAGAAGAGAAGAGAAGAGAAGAGAGAAGAATGACGCAAGGAGTCTTTAATATTGTTCCTACATGATGTACCTTCCTACCTCTTACGTAGTATCGCATACCAAAGTTACTGCGGGCTTCAGTCCGCCATTGTTGGAGTAGCTTGCCATGTGATTAATGAAGGTGTAAAGAGAAAAGGACTTTACGTCCTCAAAAGACGCCAACTACTGCCGAGAACTTGCTTTAATTACCATGCTTATATGCTCCAGAAAATCTAGTCTTAATACTGCTTAGAAATATCAGAGAAAAATTGGTGAAAATGGCGAAAAGAAAGCGTGAAAGTCAAGGGTCGAGTGCTGAAGTTGATTCTGGCGCGAAAAAACCTGATGAAAACCCTGAACAAGAAAGCAGTGCTTCTGCCGTTGGAAGAGAGAGAAAACGAAGGAAATTATCTTCTACAAAGAGTAGTGATCCGGTAAGTGTAGGAATTCGCTTGTTTATCTTATTTTGAGACCTTGTTTTTTCAACTTATTTCTGTTTTACTTCAAAATATAAGTCAAAGTTTTTTATCTTGTCAATAAGTTTACTACTATTAAAAGCATTCTRGTTGTAGAAATCGTTAAATTACTGTCGTATCAGCTTGTACAAATTACTTTTTGGGGAGAAAAATTTGCATTTGTATTTATGTCAGTAATCATTTAACCCCTTCTTTAAGAACCTCGTAAAAATATGAACGAAAACTGGCTTCAAGTAAGAAAAACTTTCTCTAGTTTTGGATCATTTTGGCTTCAATAAACAAAATATTTTTAAAGATCAACGAGAATTAAAGTTATTTCTAATCCGTCGAATTGTTTTAAATATTTGTTYGAATTTATTTTATTTCATTGTTTTAGTGTTTTTGTAAATATTTCAGTGTTTTTGTTGTTTATCTGAAAACCATTTGAGAGCATGAAACGTAAGAACAAATGCCCAGCTGGATTGAAATACACGAGCTTGAAAACCTACTGACACTTTATGCTTTATTGCAGGCTGACATTTGTGCCGAGCTGTATGATGTAATACGCAATTACAGGACAGATGATGGCAAGGTCTTGTGTGAGTCATTAATCAGGGTGCCAAAGAGAAGGTATAAACTTGTTCAATACTTTCTACCTACGGGAAGTTTTACATAATCTTTTTTGTCAATAATGGTTGTCAATTAGGTTTTTTTTTTCGTTTCTAAAAAAGACTGACTAGGACATTAATTGTTTTCTAATTCACAATAATATTTTTTAACTATTTATAAGAGTGTCATAAATATGAAAATAATTACAGCTAGTAGCTGCCACATCATGGCATGAACATTATCTCATGTTTTGATTGATTTTTTGGCAGCCTTGTCTGAAAGTCTAGGTTGCAAACCACCCTCAAAACTCTGGCAATTCAAATGACTTTTAACTTAAAAAATAAAGAGTTTCAAGCTAATTCTCATCGATGTGGTTGGGAAGTGAATTATTTTGGAAAATACTTCACAATCATTCATGAAAGCAGGTTCAAAACCTAAATTTTTAACTTCAATTTTTTTGGAATAACGGAGTAGTTGGTTGGAGGTTTTTAATTTTAAACACGAAGTCTTGAAAGCTATATTTGACCTCATGGAATTACTGGTCATGCGTAATGTGAATTATTTGTAAAGATATAGACAATGTAACCAGTCAAGAGGATCAGTCTAAGGGCTATTTGTCCAGACAAGTAGCAGTTTTTGCAGGACATGGTCTGTTGACCATCCATTATTTTAATTCTTGAGATATGGAAATATAACGAGACAAATATGATCATTTTATCAATTCGAAATTTGTAAGGATTAAATTTTTTAATTGAGACGTGTGGATAATTGATTGCAACAACTGATAAAATGAAGCAAAAAATGTTCTTAATGATTCAACTTCCACCTGATTTACAATTAGAACTTTGGTTAAAAAATTGCATCATGAAGAAAAATATAGAAAAATCTTCATTGAACTACTTTTCGTTTTGGACTTGAAAGTTGTTTTCGCATACAAGTCTCGAACACTTAAAATCTCTAAAAGTATGTTTTTCTGTTATTTCTGCAATTCTAAATTTTGCCTCACTTTTTCATAGTAATTTATTTTGTTATAATCATAGGAGCAGTCCAGAGTATTATGAGGTTATATCAAGCCCCATTGATTTGTTAAAGATACAGGTAAGAACGTGCTATATATCTTGCCATCGTATATAGGGGTTACTGTATTCACTGTCCAGAAGGTCCTGAAAGCATAATTTGTGCCTGTTTCTTGAATATACAGAGGCCATTAAGAAAACTGTGTGAAAAGACAATAGGATTGACTGCATAGTTATTTCTACCTCAAGCAATTCAGGATGAGGTTTTGCAGGTTTAAGCAAAGGTTTTTATTTTCATGGAAATAAAGTGGCGCAAAGTGATCATTGTCCATGGATCCAACTTCAGATTTCTACAGTGTAAATATCATAGTTAATTTTACCTTTACATCATACATTCACTCCTTATTTTATAGCAAAGGCTAAAAACAGATGAATATGAAGACATAGAGACATTCAGCCAAGATGTTGAGCTTCTACTGGAGAATGCTATGAGATTCTACAAACCAGATTCACAGGAATATAAGGATGCGGAGGAACTCAAAAATGTTTTCAATGAGAAAAAGGAAATACTTTTGAGTACAAAAGATGAAGGTGAGAAAAATAATATAATAACTGAATTTTATGTGTTTGATATACGAAATCTAGTTGGATAAGGCCAGAAAGCAAATGTTATCAATACCCTTTAGCAACCTTTGGGCTGATCAAAGTCAAAGCATGGCTAACACAGAGCTTTCAATAATATTTGTAGTAAGTGGTTAGTCCTAAAAAGTAGGGGGCTGAATTCACTGTGTTTGTATATAGCTATTTGGCAATGAATTAGTTTTTTTGTCAAAATAGCCTGGGCCCAGTTGTATGAAGCCTGGATAGCGCTATCCGGTGGATAAATCCTTATCCAGTGGATAAGTTGATGCAGTTATCCAATAAATTTGTCCACTGGATAAGATTTATCCGTTGGATAGTGCTATCCAGGCTTCATACAACCGGGTCCTGTAGTTTAAGGTGGGGTATAAACTGCCAGTAGCTGCCTTTTATTGAAAGTTCTGCTAACATACAGATACAATTGTCAGACTGGAGAACCCAGAAAAATCCCTTGAATCAAGGGAGAGACCTAACAAACTTTACTTACATGTGATGATATAGTCCAGGAATTAAACCAGAGACCCTAGAGGTGAGGTGATTGTGTTACCTCTGTGCTACCATTGATTCCCAAAACAGCCAAGACCTTGGTAATACAGTATCAGATAAGAATATTGAAGAGATATCATTATCAGTATAACTTAATTGGAGTGTAATTGTTGTACCAGTGATCTGAATTTAACACCTTGTCTTTTCTCTTGTAGCTGAGTCAGATAATGCCATTGAGGTAAGAAGAGACTTTAAATTTTTTCAAGTAAAAATACCTTCTGGAATATTTTATTGTATCATACAGTGCTTCCTAATCATGCATGCAAAATCAAATTTGCTGTTGCCAAAAAAAGGTTTTGGTTGACGTCAATCAACGTTTCCATAACATTGTCAAAAGACAATAAGTTTTCAAGAGCACATGCCTATAGAATGTTTGTTTGGTGTTCACCAARACTCTATTTTGTCATCATCTCTCAGATTTTTTAGTTATACAGAATTTATTGACTTAGAACTCTTCTTTCTCTTGTAATATTTTTATTTGTTGTTGTGGACCAGGAGGAAGAGGATGGCGATGAAGATAAAGGTAGTGATTCTGGGTCAGTGGACAAGGACAAATCTGAAAAGAAATGGAAGCCAGGAAATAAGCAAGCCAAGAAAACATCAGGTATGAACTAGTTATATAACACTTTTAAGTGGCATACCATAGAAAATCCTGCATCACTTTACTTTGTCTAAAGCAGGGCTAAAAATAACGGCAGATCAGTAGACAATATCTGTCAAAATTAGCACTTATGGGACCAAGAGGCAGCGTGTCGGTCTCCTAGACTGACACTCACCTCCCACCAATGCTACCAGGGCTCAAGTGCGACCAGGCTTGGTGTCAATGAATTACTTTTAGACCTGCATCTTGTACCTTATTATCAACCATTGGTCCTTGATGTGGTTGATGTTGATATTGTTTCTCATCTTTTTAAGATGGCTTGGATGACCACGTTAAAGGAGGTCCTATCCCTAATCGACTAGAAATGTTAGGAAAGGRCCATGATTGTATCAGTTGAATTACTGTCAAGTGTCATCCTCTAAACAAAAGTTCATTTATTTGATTTGTTTATCCTTGATTTGTCCTATTTAGGGGATGATGATGATATTGAGTCATCRTCAACAGAAGGTGATTTATCCAGTGCCAACAAGCAGTTCTTTGAAGATATGGTGGGTGCTGTTCTTGAACAAAAGGATAGTCATGGACGGATTATCTGTGAGCTCTTTAAACGACTTCCCCCAAAGGATGTGAGTATAGAGAACACTCAGAAAACACAACTTTCAAATGAGAATGCATGCAATCATTGTAAAGTAGTACATATTATTTGGCATCAATTAAGGCACAGATAGGTTTCAGTTATTACTGTAAAACTTTATATTGAAACCTTCAACATGCCAAACTCCACAGAAAAGAATATAATCATGTTGTAATCTTGGAAATCCAGTCTAACTGTTGGATTTGTTTGCAGCTTTATCCAGAGTATTATGAAGTCATCAATGAACCAATTGATTTAAAGTCTATCTGCTCAAGAGTTAGGGTATGTGAAACYATTACTTCAATAACAGTAAGACTTACTTCCAGAATTTGACAATAGTTCATATCTCATGAAGAACACTTTTGAATCCTCCAAATGTTATTGATACCTTGAAACAATCGTTGGATTGACCAAAGTCTGGGAATGGCTTTCTCATAGATAAAATAGAAATTTAGCTTAAGGAGAGACCATATGAACTCTACTCACATGCATTACTGCACCTGGGAATCAAACTTGAGAGAGTTGATACTGTGTTGAGTGCACAACAATTTCCTATCCTTGGTGCGTTACTCCTACCCACTAGGGTGAAGAGTGTAATGGTTTGCATGATTTGTAACTTTAAGGCACTTTTTTCATTTTAGAGTAATTACTACACTGCTGTAGATGACTTGGAAAAGGACTTGCTGTTGATGGTTAAAAATGCACATACTTTTAATGAACCAGGATCACAAGTCTACAAGGTAAACCAGGGACATATGAGCCAAATATAAATGTTTCAAATTTTCTTTTGTATGCTACCCACTCCCTACCATTACCCCAGACTAAAATTATGCTTCTTTGTTCCAAAATATCCACTTTCAAATCAAACATTAAGAGATTTAAGAAAAAAAAAAGTGCAAGTATATAAAACTCTCGTGTCGTAAACATCTTAAAATAAAAAAATGTATGCGATTGATTGTTATTATTGTTGTAGGATGCTTCAACGATCAAGAAACTGATCCAAACTAAAAAGGCAGAAATAGACCACACCGTGATGGGTGCAAAATCAAGCTCCAGGCTCAAGTATGTTCACAATATCTCGTCCCATCCTATCCATAAATCCATCCATCCATCCATCTGCATTTTTTATATTAAGTAATTCATGAATATCTTTCCCAATTTTCAATTTCCATCCATCTGTCCATCCACCCCATCAATTCATTCTTCCATCCTTCCTATTCCATCCTCTCCAGACAATAAATGTTGTGTTGTTTTGCAGAGCAAGGCGTAGCACAGGTCAATTTAGCTCAGCAGTTTCTGCTCTACTGGAAGAGGAAGATGACCAAGCCATGTACCAAGTTGACCCATCAAGAGAGGAACAGCCCTATGGTTATGAGGACACTTCTAATCAAGGTATGTGTATTTGTAGATATGTATATTATTTTAGTTATGTATTCCTGGCCATTTTTCTCCTCTTTTTCTAATAGTCTGATTAAAGAAAATCCTCTTACCTCCCTTATACAGGAAAATTAGAACTTTCCTGGGGTGGGGTAAAGTCTGAGAGAAACAAACATCTTTTGATTGCATCCAAATCCTTGACCATTGACAGGTGATGAGGATACGGGTGGTGATGATGATTTGGACAATCCACTGATGATGCTGTTTAATGAGGTGTACAAATTTACTGATGTTACTGGAAGACCTCTGATTGAACCTTTCCTTAGACTACCATCACGCAGGTAACCAGTGATATTATAATAGGGAAGCTTATTGCAGTCACAGAAATCATAAATTGTGGAAATCATTTTCATGTATTTTGTAGCGATCGAAAGAAACAATGAAATTTTATTGTAAATATCCTGTAAGAACCTTCTTTTAATTCAATTTAGTCATTAATTTTATTTACACTTTACACTTACACTTTTATTTTATTAATTACAATAAATGAATTTACAAAAATCCAACAACCTGCAAATAGTAAAAACTAATCTAGGCAGGTTGAATGGTAAATTATTTACAATTTTAATACAATACAAATACAACAACATTGATAGATAAAATTTTACAGATGTAATAATAATTATGAACATAAGGCAGTACAAACAAATGGTATATTACAAACTCATGGGCTAAAATTTAATGCATATTGATAATAATGTAAAGAAAAAAATATTGAAAGAGAGTTTATTTTGAATAAAATAATATGAACATAACATTGAGCTAAGGTTCGTTTTTGAGTAATTTAATGTTGTTCCTTCACTAGAGCATATCCTGATTACTATGAAGTTATCAAGAAGCCAATAGCCATGATGAAAATCAGATCACAGATCAAGGTATAATTGTGTTATGTGACGATATGACTGCAGATTTGATAGTCAATTTCTAACAAGCTACACCAAAGTATGCACACATCAATCAACTCAGGAAAACCTGGGACAATACAGATCTGAATGACAATTGATAAATATTATGATATGATTATTTTCAAAATCTTGCAGACATATCCGATCTCTAAATTTCTGTCAAAGAATTTCACATGAGATACCTCACATGTATGTTCAGGTCTTGTGGAAGGGCTGGTTTATGGACTTCGGTCAATCTCATGAAATACCTCGCATACATGTTTAGGTCTTGTGGAAGGGCTGGTTTATGGACTTCAGTCACTCATGAGATACCTTGCATACATGTTCAGGTCTTGTGGAAGGGATGGTTTATGGACTTCAGTCACTCACAGTCATTCAATATTTTAAATTTTCAATAAATTGTTCCACACCCATCAAAGTTCTGCTCTAGGATTCCTGAGATCTCAGATTGTTCATTAGTAGAGGATGTACTAAAGATACTATAAAATCCCAGTTATAAACCCTGGGCTTATGACCGATAATGAGTTTTTGTGCTCTTTATTGCAGAGTGGTCTTTATGAAACTGTAGAGGCACTTCAAGATGACATAGAACTGTGCTTCACTAATGCACAGACATACAATGAACCTAACTCTATGCTATACAAGGTATATTCTTGGATTTATAACAAACAACAGTCCCTTTCACAGTTCCCTGCGCCATCTTGAAAGGTAGCCATGCCTTTAAATCAAAGCAAGACGAACGGTGAGCTTGCAATGATAGAGACATGTGAAAAATTGTCCAAGGTGTTTAAAAAAGGTCTCTATCATTGCAAGCTCACCAATTGTCTCGCTTCCATGCAAAGGCACGGCTACCTCTCAAGAGGGCACAGGGAACTGTGAAAGGGACTGTTGTCTAGGAAAATATTCTTCAAAAAATACCCTTAAATAAAGACAATATTTTAATTTGTTCTGCCAATATCTACTGTTAAGTAAGATAAACCTCAGGCAAGGTCCCAAATAGCTTCTCTAATTTATCATTGGTTTGCAGGATGCAGAGAGAATGCTTGAACAGGCTAGAAAGAAAAAAGTGGAAATCCTAAAGATGATTGAGGAAAAAGGAATCAATCTGGAAGATTTTCTTAAGGTACCAACCACATTGAAATTGTCCTTAACGTCCTGAAAAATTGTAAATATGTATCATATTAATTTTTAAGAAAAAGAAGAAATTCAAGAAGTCGATAGACCCATCTGAAAGCCAGCCCGTGGAAGAGGTCCCTGAGATAGAACAACCTGTAGTACCTGAAATAAAACAAATGAAAGAAATGAAGAAGAAAAAGAAAGTTACTGCTGATGGGAAGGAAAAACTGAAGAAGAAGAAAGGAGAGGAAGTGGATCCACTTGTGTTGAAGAAGAGAATGAGACAATTGTCTAAGGCTGTTACCAATTACCAGGTAATGGGTTACCACACTACCCCATGCCACACCACACCACCCCACCCCACCCCACACCACACCACACCACACCACACCACACCACACCACACCACACCACACACACACACACACACACACACACAAACAAAAAAACAATGGAATTAGGGCCTGCCAATGTGTATTAGTGTATT